ACCAAAATATGTGTACTAATAATGCCCCCCGGCAGCACCACCTTTCGTCCTGAAAGTCAGCAACCAGACAAACGCACTTTTAAGTACAAAATACTAACTTTTATTTATGAAGAAATGAAAACGAATGGTTTGAGGGAGAATTATACAAAGCTTTTGTTCCTTGATAGACGTTTTCTACATTGACTTAGGACAAACGTGATCCTGTAAAATGTGTCAAGATATAACATTGGAATTTTAGCCGTTTTTTCTAGCTTAAGAAAACTACTAACAAGTAACATTTCGTGACACCATGAACGGTTTTCCCGCTAGATAACGTCTAAGAAGGGAACGCAAAAATTCAATACTGATGAGGTGTGGTAGTGCGTCTGATGATGATCTGGGTAGTGCTTCTAATTGATTGAAATCCTATGGTGTGACGATTGAAATGAAACTTCTTTCGCAGCAAATTCACCTCGCACTATTGGATTTTCAACAATGGACGAAATAAAATTTGGAAATTATGTTGGCCACCTTTTGCTGAGAAATGGTAAAAGGGTTAAAATATTTATACCACAGAGAACTCTCTGTACTGATGGGAGACACCGTTGTGATAAGCCTGTTAATGTTCGTCAAGGATCTTTCCAAATAGTAACTGTTGAAAAAAAGAGTAAATGGAAACTTCCTCGGTCAACTCTACTTTGAACTGCTTGAGGAAGGTAACCTTCTCGTAAGTATGTCTGTAAGGGGAACGTAGACTCTATTGACAGTATCCTGTCATTGGTGTAAAAGTTGGCCTTGAGCGCTCTAGACATTGTTTGCTACTAACATTTGTTTACAAAAAATCTAATTAAATGGTATAAGTTTAAAAAAAATGCTTAATTTGTGGCAACACGAAGATGGTAGCGAAATCACCGAGTTTTGTCTGAAAAAGGGTTAGGGTTTGAACACCTCGGCAGCACTCCTCTCAGTACTATAACTTTCCTTTAGTTTTCCCCGACCCCACCACATCTCGGGAATTTGAAGGCATATGCATAATCAAGAACTTTACTTAAAACCATTTTGAAAGGAATTTTGCGCTGTCTATTCCTAATGAAATTTTCATGTATATATGCTTCAGGGTCAGTGATCCGCCTCATGGATGAAGGCTAGGAAATGATACGAAAAAAAAGATATTCAGCAAGAAGAAGGCATAGTGACTTCAGGCTGTAAATGTTTTATTGCTGCAACATGGAATTTAGCTCTACAACTTTCCTATTCTCTTAATTCCTATAAGGAATCTTCCGCACAAAGTGTGGAAAAGTCAACCACTGTAATCAAAACTTAGAAATTGTTCACAAGTACATATGACCACACCCAACACCTACTTATAACTACATTCAGTACATTTAGGCCAGTACGAATTACAATGAGTACGGAATGATTTACTTCACAAGAGGCTAAGATTTATTCGTGCAGCATTAACAATTCGAAAGAAAGTCAATCACTGGTTGTCTTTCTTTATGTTGTCTTCTTCCATGGTACGTAGCATTTTTCGCCCCATGTCGCTGAATTTTTTCAGCATTTCTCTTTTTCCACTGGCACTACAATTAAAGATAGGCCTACATCTCCCAAGAGAATCTCTCCTTTGGCACGTCGGACAACTTCCCAGTGGGCGACCATCTAAGATACTGGACTCTGAGGCAACGACAAAAGCGGCAACAATAATGATCAGCAGGAGTGTAGACTTCATTTCTTCTAAAAAAAAGAATAAAGCATTCAAAAGATTAATAGATTACTAGTCTTTTCTTTTTCTAAGAAATATATCTCTAACTCACAACTCAATAGTGTTGAATTCATTTAGAAATAGAATGCAACAAAGCAAGAATAGGAGTAAAAATTATAACAGCTGCTCTTAACGATTGAAAAAAGCACCAGGTCCCGATACGGAGTAGGATCAGTTTGTGATAAGCTTTTTATCGTTGGCGGATTAGTTGTAGATGCTAGACTGGAAGAGAAACGAATCCATTGTTGAAAAAGACAAAATGACTTTGCACTTGTGATTGAGAGAAACCGTTTTATGGCATTAAGTCAAAAATACTGTTGTTGGATTGATTCAAGAAATGTTTAAATCATTCAGTTATGTGCTATAACAAATTGGTTAAGAAAGGCCATTATATTAGTGGCGTTCTTGTAGTAGCAGTCGTGGCTTAATGAGAAACTGGCAGACAGTTTCTCTTTGACCCACCTTAGTGCTCTGCGAGATCGAAGCTCTAATATTCACAAGCTGACAGGATAAACTTCAGCAACAGAATGATGAAAGTTGTGTGCAACCTGTTCATAAACAAAAAACGCAAAGGAGCTATGCCACTCGGTGAGTCTGCGCACTGAGGTTATTTCAAATGCGGAATGTAGAGTGTTCTCACTCACGTGGTCAGCATCCATGCAAATTTATTGTAATGAATAAAAGCATTTACATAAGAAGATAGAGGAAAATCCACAGGACTGGCTTGGTACACCAACATAGCCGAGGTTTACATTGTCTTTTGACATTACAGTGGCTGTTGTGAGATCATTTGAAAAAGCGCTATATCTGTTACAATACCAAACTTCATGCGCGAGAATATTTTACCGCCTGTTGTATCAATACATGCAGAAAGAATATTGTATACCATAACATTCGCGAAATGTAAAATTGGGTTGCCAAAAGTTCACGAACTGGCATAGTTTTAGCAGTTTGCAAGAAAAAAAAACGTTTATTAGCGTGTGGCGAAGTGTCTTGTTGGTGTTTTTCTAAATAATATCCCTAATAGCTACAAATGCACTGATAATTTTGTTTGTTATAGGTTCTGAAAATGAAATCCCCAAGATAAAGACTCTTTCTTTATGGCTCTCATGGAAAATTAAAGCTTTAATGAAGTATTTTGATCAGAGGAAAGAGGTTACTTGGTCATTGCACTGGAATAAGAATAATACCGATGATAACTCTGAATGACAATTTTTTAAACACAAGAATACAAAGAAAACAATAAATAAAATAATTAGAAAAAGGCGTTATTTTTGTTAATGAAATTCATTAGATTAGAACTACTCCTAGAGGGTTTTTACACATTGCCAACGAATTTCTGCTGACAAACATTGGAATTAATAACTTCAGTAAGCAAAACTTCGAATTGATTTTTTTCACAATAAGTAATTTTTTCCTTGCTGACTACAAACCTCATTGCGTGCTGCAGTAGATGCTTTCGTCTAGATATCAGTTTTGTCTGGCAAGACAATTTTTTTTACCAACAATGTATACATATAAAGAAAATGGAAAAGTGTGGGCGAAATCATTATATTTTATGATGATTTTGAATTTTCAGACATCAACGAAAAATGTTTAAAGACAATGAAAATAACCATTTTTTTTACATAGGTCCAATGTCCTTTCACTGAAAGCAACGCGATATGATATGATATAATTTTATGCAGACTTACTTTCCCAGAAAGCAAAAATAGTAACAACAGTAAGTTGATGATCCCAAACTTCGTTTTTTATCCGAATAAGAGAAGAAAAGCAAGTTTCATGTCGGACTTATCTGACAATAATTAAGAGTCTAGAAAGGTGCTTAAAGACAAATTAAACTGCTAATTATTGTTTAAAACAACTTAAGACCGTTTACTGAAAAGAAACTCGACGATCGTTTAATAATAACCAAAATATGTGTTCTAATAATGCTTCCCCCGGCCCCACCACCTTTCGTCCTAAAAGGTCCTGGAAGTCAGCAACCAGAAAAACTTAGTTTTAAGTCCAAATGCCTTTTTTTTTCATTAAAAAAATGAGAACGAATTGTTTGAGGGAAAATTATACAAAACTTTTGTTCCTTGATAGACGTTTTCTACATTGACTTAGGACAAACGTGATCCTGTAAAATGTGCCAAGATATAACACTGAAATTCTAGCCGTTTTTTGGAGCTGGAGAAAACTACTAAGTAACATTTCGCGACGCCATCAACGGTTTTCCCGCTAAATAACGTGTAAGAAAGGAGCCCAGAAATTCAATACTGATGAGGTGTCACTACCTAGATGTGGGTAGTGTTTCTGATTGCTTGAAATCTTATGGTGTGACGATTGAAATGAAACTTCTTTGCAGCAAATTCACCTCGCGCTATTGGATTTTCAACAATGGACGAAATTAAATTTTTAAATTATGTTGGCCACCTTTTGCGGAGAAATGGTAAAAGGGTTAAAGTATTTATACCACAGAGAACTCTCTGTAATGATGGGAAACACCTTTGTGATAAGCTGTTAAGCTGATAAGCTGTTTATGTTCTTCGAAGAGCTTTCCAAATAGTAACTAGTCTTGAAAAAAACAGTAAATGGAAACTTCATCGGTCAACTCTACTTGAACTGCTTCAGGAAGGTAACCGTCTCGTAAGTATGTCTATGACGGGAAAGTAGACTCTATTAACAGTAGTCTGTCATTGGTGTAAAGGTTGGCACTGAAAGACCTCTCTGCAGTTGCTGTAATGATTGGTAGAGTTAAAAGCGCCGTAAATGCTCTGGATACATTTGGGAACTTTTGCGGGTGACAGTGAGGAGGTGTTTCAACAATTGTGGCCGGAGGATCGTGCACTCTATCCCAACGTGTTTTCCACCGAAGACATTCTCTTTCCTGTAGTTTTCTAATTTCTTCCGAGATGTCGGGATTGTACAAGTCCAAAACTTCTTTGACACTGATCTTAGCTGGAGACCAGTTACCTACATTTTTCGGCAAAAGATTTGTTATAGTAAACAGTGGAATTGGTTCGACAATACGCGGATCAAGTTCCGATAGCAAACGGTCAAGGAATGGATAATACTCGCTTGTTTGTAGTAGTCACTAACTGAATCTGATGGAACGTTTTCTCGATTTAACTATCGGCCAGCTAGTCTAGGTTTACAAAATAGGGTCATCATGCTTTGCCGGAACAGACACTGCCATTTGATACAGCTTATTCCAGGACTCGTCGTTAAGCTCACTGCAAAGTGATTGGATGACCACTTTGGCCTGCGTGTGTGCTTAGAGTAGGTTTAGGTCAACCCTTTGAAGATAGTTGGTAAGAGGCACAGTAAATTGTAGCAACCATTCACAGGCAATTAATGCAATTATAAACTCGAACTTTAGCATGCTATTGATAAATCCCCTTGCTTTTGTAGCCTTCGTTGCAGCCGGCCCACGCACTCGTCTAAACCATTTGTATAGTCCATACCATTTATATAGTCTATACGAAGGTTTAGAGCGTCTGCAGGCAAGCAGATTGTGAAGCACTTCTAAAGCCTTTAAGATCACGTCAAATGATAATTTAAAAGTACACAAAGAGTCAGCTCTGGCACCCCAACCAGTCTTGCCAAGTGTTCGCAGCTTAGTTCGTCTTCCCATTTGCTCTTGACTTTCAGTTGTTTCTTTTAATGTCTCCTAAAATTGGTGCTGCCGCCTAGCTGAGAAAGAAAATGAAAATGCAATTTCCTGTACGGTTGACATCATGTTCCTTACAATTTAATGGTTCTTTAACGTTAGGAGATTTAATCTTGCTGCTTGTTTGTTATTTACAGACGCGAAAGTATTTCGTAAGAAATTTTAAGTGTCTTCCAAAATTTACGAGTCATACTTCGGTGAAAAGTCGGAGGGGTGAAAAAAAAAGCGTAGGCCCGGGCCCACGAGACCGATCCTTTTTGAAGAGATGGATTAAAGCGGTAAAAAATCGGTCATTAAATAGCATTCTTGGGGTAGCAGTGTTGGCTTAATAGGATACCGTCAGACAGTGTCTTATTGACCCACTTTAGTGCAATACAGTGCAATACGCAGGGGCACGCAACGACGGTTTCCTCCTAAATACATTAGGCTATCCAGAGTACTTTTAGTTCTCTTGAAATGCATTCTCAGCGGTCCTATAAAATTTGCATTTGCTCGGTCATAGTAGGGCAACTTCAATCTTTTCGAAATTATTAGCCAGGGCTTCAGTATTACTTTCGCGACAATGTTACATGCAATTTTACGTATTACGAAACTGAGAATTTTCCTAATTCCTCTCTTCATGGCATTTTTGAATTCGAAAATTTTAGGTTTCCTTTCTACTACGAAAAGTAGCCAAATCTGGGGAGTGAAATGTGGAAAATTAAACTTCAGGAAATCGTAGGGAATTTATTAGGTAAGCTTCGAAAACTGTGCATGATTGGAACAGTCACCCAGAGATTTTTTTTAGCCGTCTTCAAGTAATACAACATTTTAGGCAGTATTTTGCTTCTCCGAAAGAACAGATATTTTACAGAAAACAGTCGTTAGGCGCAATAGAAAAATTTGCTAAATACTAGGGAATGGAGGATTATGTAGAGTACATCTTTAGAGAACAAGTGTTGAAGCCTAATTATTTCAACTAATGTTGACAAAAGAGAGGAGGATAGTGAAGCGATATGGTCATTGAAGGTCAGGTTCGAGCAAACCGTGACGCTGAGGTCCTTGGCGGAAGTTACAGGTACTAGATCTTGACCAAGGAAAGGTACTGTGATGCTACTGGACAACTTGTAGATAAGTTGCCTCACCCCAAATAGGACAAACCTGGTTTTATCAGGGTTAATCAAAAGGTGGTTGGCGCAACACCACTCTGGAGCATGTTGGAAATCCTCAGCAGCTTGGCGTAGACATGAATCAATGTCTTTTGACGCAAGCGAGAAATATATCTTAGTGTCGTCAACATAAGATTCGATTTTACTAAACCTGATGACTCCTGGTAGAGATCGTTCACGTACAGGCCGAGAATTGAGCCCTGAAGTACCCCATGTGTAATGGCGGAGCTCTCGCGCGCGCAGCACGCGCAGTGGAGCACCATGGGTAAGAAAATGAAGTAATGTACCCATCCGAGAAAATTTGGTAATCACGTGACCGTACGCCCGACCGTCAGTCTTCATCTCAAGCAAACCAACGTAAAATAACTCAATCAGTAGGTAGGGCAACCCAAATGCAACTCGAGGTTATTTTGGCGGGAAATCGCATAGCCACCGGCGTCTTGTAAAGCAGAGACAACTAAAGAGTCAATAAAAAAGAAAACGGAAAGCGGAAATTGTTTCCGTATCTGTGTTGTCTACAGTATTAAGCTTAGATTAATATTTTTGTCGTGTCCACAATTTGGAATATAGAGCAAGAGAAAGACCGAGAAAAAGAGAAAGTAGGCGGCAGGCCAGTGCAGCTCAACCAGAAAAAGGGTGACAGAGATCTAGAGCGAGAGATAAAAAAGAGACATTTTTTTGTTGGAAGAACAACATGAAAATTTTGTAGCGGTGGCAACAAAATGAAAAATGCTAGCGGCCACCAATCAAATGCAAGGTGAAAGTGAACGGCAGTGAAAAAAAGTGAACGAGAAAACGTGCGACATTTCTCCCATTAAAAGTGTAACTGAGAAGTTTCTGGAGGTTTCACGTTGTAGTCGTGCAAAAGAACGGCAAAGAAATGCACAAAAATGTGTGCTGCACGTGCAAAGTTACTTTCTTGCTTATTAGACCTATTGTTGTTTTTCACCGTTCTCCGGCGTTGCCTTCACCGCTTAGCATTACACGATTCTATATTTTGGTTGAACGAACTATAAATATTATCGAGAGCTTCGCTTTTAGCCCTGGCTAAATCTACGTATTAGTGAGTGGTTCTGACAGTGAAGTTGCAACACGAGTGAACTGTTGACTGTTTGTAAGGTAACTTTAGAACAATAGAAGAGCTTTGTTGGAGGTACCCAAATTCTGTAATTTACAAAGTTTTTGAGAGTTGAATCGCATAGGCTTTCGAATGCTTTGCTCAAGTCAATAAGTGCCATTACCGTAATTTGCTTTTTATCCATGGCACTGAAGATGTGATCGCTTATTAGCAAGCTCAATGTTTCCGTCGAGTGGTGCATCTGGTTTCCACTTTGGTGACAAGTGAGACGGCTTTTGTGGGTTAAGTAGTTGTTAAATTGACCCAGGGAGATTCTCTCAGCTACTTTGAAGAGCACAGGCAGAAGAGAGATAGGCCGATTATTATTTGCTACTTCGTGATCCCCATCTTTAAGGTGAGGAAGCACTTCACCTTTTTTGCAGGCTCGTGGAAAAATCGGGAAAGTAAATG